AATCCTCGAGGAGGAGATTTTCATGGCGCAGCCAGAGGGTTTGACGATGGCACCGGCAGGGTGTGGAAGCTGAAGAAGGCCCTCTATGGGCTGAAGCAGGCCCCTAGGCAGTGGTACCTGAAGCTGCGCGAGGTGTTGGAGGAGATCGGCTTCACTCCCTCAACGGCCGATCACTCCTTGTTCATGCTTGGCGAGGGGGAGCAGAGGAGCTTCATGGTGGTCTACGTGGACGACATCCTCATCTTCTCACCCTCATCTGACCTGTTGAAGGAGGTGATGCTGAAGCTGCAAGACAAGTTCAAGTGCAAGTCCCTTGGGGACGTGAACTTTTACCTCGGGCTCCACATCGAACGAGACGTGGAGAAGCGGTGCATGCGAGTGCACCAACGGAAGTACCTGGAGGCATTGGCTGCCAACTTTGGGCAGAATGAAGGCCATGTGGCTACACCCTTTCCTTCTGGGTTCAAGTGTGTGAAGGGACCAGAGGAGGAGAGCGTGGGTGAAGAGGAGAGGCGCCGTTTTCACTCATTGGTGGGCAGCCTCATGTATGCGGCGGTCAACACACGACCGGATGTCGCGTTTGCTACCGGGCAGCTGGCTAGGGTTGTGCAATGCCCTAATGAGGAGCAGGTAGCAGCTGGAATGAGGGTGGCCAAGTACCTTGGCCAAACACCGACCGTTGGGCTGCAATACTCGGCGGCGGCACAAAGGCGCCAAAAGGGCGCGGATGGTGTGGAACCCGGGCGTTTGTTCCTCACCGCATTCTCGGATGCTTCATATGCATCAGAACCAGAGGACATGACAAGTGTGGGAGGCTTCATCTGCTGTGTTGGTGGAGGCCCAACTGCTTGGGAGAGCAAGAAGCAGGTTGACCAAGCTTTGAGCTCGGTGGAGTCCGAGTACATACATTGCACTCTTACATGCCGTACGAGAGATTGTGTGGCAGCGGCGTTTGTTGGCTGAATTGGGGGAGGACCAGCAATGACCTACCCCTCTCTACTGTGACAGCCAAGGAGCCATTGCTCTAGCCAAGAACCCTGTGTTGCACAGTCTGACGAAGCACATGAGGGTGAAGTGGCATTGGACAAGGAGCATGGTGGCCGCGGGTGAAGTCGAGTTGCGCTACGTGAAGACGACGGGGCAGCCGGCAGACATGATGACTAAGAGGCTGGTGGAGCAGCAGCATTGGAAGTGTTGCAAGCTGGCTGGGATGGCTCTGAACTGAGAGAGCAAGTTCCTAAGGCCAACAACCCGAGGGGGAGTTTGTTGGTGCAACCTACGGTTTGCACTCGGCTTGTTGTCCGTGTGCGTGTGCGTGCATGCATGTGTGCATGGAGTGGTATGAGTGCATGAAATAAATATATATTTCATGCTTATAATAGTGTGTGTATGATGGGTCATGATGTCGAGTGTGTGTGTCGTATCAATCGCGAGTTATCGCTAGCCGCGTGTTAATGCGGTCATTTGTGTCTCGCGCGCGGTTTCTATTTTGTCGTGTGTCCCGTGCGCGGTTTCTATTTTGTCGCTTGTCGAACGTTAGGCGTATCGTAGGTGTGTGCAGCAGACCCATCAAGAACTCAAGGATGAGTTTTGTGATGAAGAACCCGAGCCTTGGTTCAAGCTTCAAGTGTTTTTTTCGAAGCTCGTCAAAAGGCTACACCTCAAGATATTGAAGATAGTTACATTACAAAAAGTAGTGTAACATTTCAGTTGGTGTAGGCCCTTGTGAAGGGTAGTTTCGAGACCCTTCTTGGTTGGGGACAGTGTGGCACTGTTCCCCATCACTGTACCTCGGCTCTTGGGGTTTGTAGGAGCTGGGAGTCCTTCCCAACTCGTAACTCTTCCTAGTGCTTCGTAATTATGTGTCCTATGACGATGTTGCTGCCATAGTGCCGTTCGTTCAATCTGACGCTGTGTCGTCAATTCTTAATGAAATCGTGCGATCTAAATTGCCTATTGTAGGCCACGTTATCACGCTCCAGATCCAAGTTGAATGAGGTCAATTGGAGCTGTGACCAGATCGCTATGATCGTTTAAAGCCGCTGTGCAGAAATCTGACTGTGCACTCTATCTTTCGTTTTAGGCACATTGAAGCCTATTGGAGCCTATTGTGACTATAAAACATACTGCGGTTGGTGTGGAGGACCTTCCATGGCCCACATTCAAACCATGTTAAAGCCCACCATATCGTTATTAGAACACCGGACCTGCTCAGTATGACTTGGCTCCCGAGCACGTGAAAAAACCCAGTCGAAGTGCGGGCAAGAAAACTACCATGAAATTACGAACTCTGGCAAAATCGACCGTCAGTGAAAGTCAAACCCATTTCTGCTTTCCAGTTCCACTCAGGCAGGCCTGCTCAGAGTGGCATTCGCTATATAAATATCTTTTCGGAACAGATAAATCTTTTCAGCCCGATCGTTTAGACAATGAAAGATCATGCCCGTTCTTGAAATTTATTTTCCATATCGAATGGTTAAAATTTGGCGGGCATATTTTTTGTTTGCCAGTCGGGCAGCCTCGTCCAGCAGTAAAATTTACGGCCTGAAATTTCTCCATAGGCACACGGTAACTTCTTGCTTTTGTGGAGGAGACTTCCCTCCAGTGTGACTGGACGCCCGAGGCTACGAAACGTGTCGTAGGCTTCCCCAGTTTGAGTGGGCCCATTGTGACTGGAAGGCTACCGAACAGGGCCAAGGAATGGAAGCAGCAGCAGCAGAAGCTTCCTACGACACCGCTGATCATTGAGGCCGATGAGGTGCAGCGGCCTTCGAGGCAGGTGGAGGTTTCTGTCTCTGAGAAGGAGATCTCTGGAGTGACTGAGGATGGAGAAGAACCTGAGGTGGAGGAGCAGCAGCAGCAGCAGCAGCAGCAGCAGCAGCATCATCAGCAGCAGCAGCAGCAGCAGCAGCACACAGCAGCAGCAGCAGCAGCAGCAGCAGCAGCAAGGTGCTCCACAAGGTGCCGCACGTTCGGCTGACCGTCCTAGGAGGGATGTGCGCCCTCCTAACCGGCTGACCTATCCGAGCTTTGGGAAGCCAAAGGTGGTACGAGCTGGGAGTGTGGCCGAGCAGTGTGATGAGGAGGAGATAGCGCACTGCTACTGGGCAGCCGTCCCTGAGCCCAAGACGCTTACCGAGGCCTTGAGTGGGCCCGATGCTGAGAAGTGGAAGCAGAGTGTGAAGGAGGAGTACGACTCACTGCTGGAGAATGAGACGTGGGAGCTGTGTGAGCTGCCCCCTGGTACAAGTATGACCATTTCTTCCAAGCTGATTTTCAGGCACAAGTATGGACCTGATGGGGAGCTGACCCGCTACAAGTCAAGGCTTGTGGCTAAGGGGTTCCAGCAGACGAAGGGGAAGGATTTTGACGACATCTTTGCTCCTGTGGGGAAAGGGACTACACCGAGAACGATGTTGGCAATGGCTGCAAACCGTGGATGGAAGATCAAGCAGATGGACATCATCACTGCCTTCCTCAATGGGATCATTTTGGAGGAGCTGTACATGTTGCAGCCTGAGGGGTTGGATGATGGGAGCGGCAGGGTGTGCAGGCTGAAGAAAGCCATCTATGGCTTGAAGCAGGCTCCTCGTGCATGGTACCACAAGCTGGAGGAGACACTGTGTTGGTGCAACCCTACGGTTTGCACTCGGCTTGTTGTCCGTGTGCGTGTGCATGCATGCGTGTGTGCATGTAGTGGTATGAGTGCATAAAATGAATATTTATTTCATGCTTATAATGGTGTGTGTATGATGGGTCATGATGTCGAGAGTGTCTGTTGAGTCAATAGCGAGTTATCGCTAGCCGCGTATTACGCGGTTATTTTGTGTGTCCCGCGCAGTTTCTATTTTGTCGTGCGCGGTTTCTATTTTGTCGCTTGTCGAACGTTCGGTGTGTCGCAGGTGTGTGCAGCAGGCCCATCAAGAACTCAAGGATGAGTTTTGTGATGAAGAACCCGAGCCTTGGTTCAAGCTTCAAGTGATTTCGAAGCTGGCCAAAAGGGTACACCTCAAGATATTGAAGATAGTTACATTACAAAGTGTAGTGTAACATTTCTATGGGTGTAGGCCCTTGTGGAGGGTAGTTTTGAGACCCTTCTTGGTTGGGGACAGTGTGGCACTGTTCCCCATCACTGTAGCTCGGTTCTTGGGGTTTGTAGGAGCTGGGAGTCCTTCCCAACTCGCAACTCTTCCTAGCTGTTCGTAATTGTGTTCCTAAGACTATGTTGCTGCCATAGTGCCGTTCGTTCAATCTGACGCTGTGTCGTCAATTCTTGATGAAATCGTGCGATCTAAATTGCCTAGTGTAGGCGACGTTAAGACGCTCCAGATCCAAGTTGAATGAGGTCAATTGGAGTTGTGAGCAGATCGCTATGAACGTTTGAAGCCGCTGTGCAGAAATCTGACTGCGCACTCTATCTTTGGTTCTAGGCACATTGAAGCCTATTGGAGCCTATTGTGACTATAACACACTGCTGGCTGGGGGATTCAAGAAGATCGAGTGTGATCACAGCCTGTTTCTGCTACAGGAGAAGGAGCAGTTCCTCATGCTCCTTGTGTTCTGGACGACATCCTCCTTTTCTCCGAGTCGTCTGCGATGATTGAGCATGTGGAGGAGATGCTGGAGATGCAGTTCAAGTGCTCGAAGATGGGAGATGTGAAATACTAGCAGTCCTGCCAAGCCACTCCACATAGGGCACCCATTTGTCTGCTCCCACATGAGTCAAAACTCTGTTCTTGGCCACACACGCGCTCCGCACCGCATCAGGCCAGAAGTAGTCGGGTAGCCCGGCTTCAATGAGCAACCCGCGTGCCGCCTCCGTGATTGTGCAGTTTGCCCTCTCGGCGATGCCGTTCATTGCAGGGGAGTATGGCATGGTAAGGGAGTGCCGAATGCCATTCTTCTTCAGCCACAACCCAAAATCCTTGCTCAGGAACTCTCCCCCTCGATCGGTGCGGATTGACTTGACTAGACGGTCTTGTTGCCGCTCCACCATCGGGAACCAATCCGTCTTCAACGTTTCAGCCACGTCGCTCTTCTTGGACAGCACATACACCCAGGTCATGCGGGTGTAGACGTCGACAATGGTGAGGAAGTACTCTGCTCCAGCAGCTCCAAGCTTCAGGGGGCCCACCACGTCCATCACCACTTCATCAAGCGGTGCCTTTGCCGTTGCCTCCGAACTAGGGAACGGAAAACGGGTGAACTTGGCTTGCATGCACGTCGGGCAGCCAAGCACCTCATCGGGCTCCCCCTTCACACGTATGCCAGCTTCCATCTCATTCTTAACTAGCTGCTGCAAGATGGGTAGGGCCACATGCCCCATGCGCCGATGCAAGGTGAGCCAATCACACTCCCCCGTAGCCGAAGTCGGATTGGAGAATGCCGCGCTCGCAATAGCGCCCCACATACTCTCTCCGTTGTCCTTCTCCGCTGCTGCCTCGGGGTTCTCCTCACCCTTGTGCTGCTTCTTGGCTGCTGCACCACTCTCCTTATGGTCACACAGCTTGCTGGTCACTCCAGGTTTGCCCTTCTTGGGCTCCTTCTCCTTAGCGCGACCGTCCGCGCTATCGCCGCTACCAACCGCTTCGCTCTTGGTGCTGACGCTTGCTGCCACTTGCCTCTCCTTAGGCATGGGGACCACAGGGATCTGCCACATCTCATTGTAGACATCCCTGTCCTCATGAAGGTCCCAAAGAATCCGGTCGCCAATCCTCGCGGTGTAGGTCTTGGCTCCCTTCGAGTTCGTGTCCATGCCGGCCTTTGCCAACCGCCGCACGGAAATCAGGTTCGCAGCAAGTCTAGGCACCCAAAGCACGTTCTTGAGGCCCACCATCTTTCCATCAGCACCCTTGAACATGGCCTTGCCCATGCCTTTCACCTCTGCTCGCTGCCCCAAAGCCGATGTGACATGCTTCACCGGTGACGGCTCAAGTTCGGTGAGCAAGTCGGGGCGAGGTGTCATGCTATAGGTAGCGCCGCTGTCGATCACCCAATAGTCCAGGGGGTGTAGGGTCACCTTCCCCACAGCTGCTGGCTCCTCAAGGTCTTCATCCTTCTCTGGACCAGCTGGTACTTGCGTCGACACGAAGTAGAATAGGCCCGGGTAGCGATCGTCGCGCGGGTCCTTGTCGTTGTCTCCAGACTTCATGTTCGCGGCTCCACCTCCGCGACCGCCACGGCCTCCACGGCCTCTTCCTCTCCCTCCTCCTGCTCCTCTATGTCATCGGGAGTTGTGTTTGGCTCCGTCCTCGCTTGGGCGGAGCCGACCTCGTGGTCGGGTGCGCGGGAGATGCAGCCGACCTGTAGCAGTGGGCACGGGGGCCACTGCATGGGCGCCGAGCAGGTGGACGCCGTCCTTAGTGTCTGGGCGGCGTCCTGGGCATCTGCACGGCGTCCTGGGAGGCTGGACGCCGAGCTGAGCGTCTGCGTGGCATCCTGTGCCCCTGGACGCCGACTGGGGCGTCTGCTGGGCGTCCTGGGCCGACCTGGGCGTCTGCTTGGCGTCCGGAGAGGCTGGACGCCGACCTGAGCGCTTGCTCGGCGTCCCGGGCGTCTGGACGCCGACTGGGGCGTCTGGACGGCGTCATGGGCGAGAGGACGCCGACCAGGACGCTAGGACGCCGACCTGGGGATGCCGGGCTTGGTGTAGTCGGCGTCTGGCAGGGCTGGACGACCAGGCAGGGTTGCCCGGTCGACCGGGATACCCGGGCGACGTGTGCGAAGCTCGCCGGGAAGACGTTTCTGCGAGGACGACCTCGGGGGTGGTATCCCGAGGTCGACATGGCTGGTCGGCGCAGTCGCTGGCGTGGGCTTGATCTAGGCGTCTGCGCTGTGCTCGTGACCAGGCGTGGAGCACCAACCAGCTGCGCGCACCTGCGAAGCAGGTGCACCGTTGTCATGCGGGTGCAACGCTGTGCAGCCGACTTGCTGCAGCGTTGGCGCACCGCAGACTTGCAACGTTGGCGCGCCGCAGCTCTGCAGCGCTGGAGCGGTGCGAGCATTGCTGCGCTGGAACGCGGTCGACCGTGCTGCGCTGGAGGTCGACCAGCAGTTGTGCTAGCTTTGATGTAGTCGTGCGTGTCAATGTTGTTGCAATCATTCTGAACTTTCATTGTTGTCATGTTTTCCTAGTGAAACTCTTGCCAATTCTCCCCGTGAACTAGCAAGTAGTGTGCGCACAAGGAAACGACTAAGGAACGAACGCAGAGATCCCTCTCACACACGTGCCTTCTCCGCAGTAAACCTCCCGTTGCAGCAGTTATCTCCGCATGGTGCGGTGAGCGTGGACGACACCGCGACGTAGTTCAGTCTAGCCGACTTTGCACTTCCCGATTGTGTTCGTAGGCCGGCAGCTTTGCGTTAGTCACCATGGTAGGCGCCGTAGGTGACGCCGGGGTGGTGGACACCCTGGAGGCACGGCTGGAGAACGCGAGGAGAAAGCACGAGGCCAACGAGTATGGCGACCTGCCGTGGGCGGTCGTCGAGGCCGGGCTTTGAAGCATGTGGGCGTCGGAGCACCCTTCTCGGCCTGCTTCTCCTCGACCGGTGAACACCGAGGGCGGCGTCGACGTGGGCGTCAACGCCGGGAGTGGCCAAGTCGGCAGCAGTGCGGGAGGCACGTCGAGGCAGAGAGGTGTGATTCACGCCGACGAAGTCGGCGGCGTTCAGGCGCGAGGGATGCAGTCGTCGGCGGCTGCAGGCTCTTTGCAGGGCGACGTCGGAGGACGACGAAGCGGATTGACGCCGATGTCGGCGTCCCAGGTGACGGCGGGCGGGATTGCGCCGAGTTGTGGCTACTTCAAGTTCACGCCGGACAGGATGTCGGTCACCTCGCCGCTGGTCGGTCGACCCGACATTCTCACCTGGAAGGAAGCTATCGAGCCCCAACTGGAGATGGCCGGGCTAATCAGCTTTGCTCGAGGTACTGTGGCAACGCCGGGCGACCCCGACCTGCGTGCGGAGTTCCGCGCTGTGCAG